GATTTACAAAGGAGGCTTAGGAAGGCCATCTGCAGAGTCAGGTGGAGAAGAATGCAAAAGTGCCAGGTGCTCATTAGAGATGCAAAAGATCAAAACATAAATCTAAGACCTGGAGCTCACAGCAGAATCCTGGGAGAGTCTCTGGCAGGAAGCAGAAGAATCTGTGCGAGGATCCAGGAAATAACACCTAAGGTGATGGCAAGGACTCAAACTCTTCTGAAGAGGCAGAAGCCAGACTTTCTCCTTTCCCTCTTTACTGCCTCCAGGATGCAGCACTATTGGTTGCCCACTAAACACAGGGAAGGTCTTCCATCTTCAGTGAGTCAGTAATCTACACACAAACACAAAACTGTGATAAAACATTCACCTAGGTGTTCTTTGCTTGTTGGCTGTTAGTTTTTTGAGACAGGATTTTCTTTGGAGTTCAGGCTGGCCTTGAACTCACTGTGTTGCTCAAGCTAGTCTCAAACTCAGATTATGCTGCTTCAGCCTCCCAAGTGCTGAGTTTACAGGTATGCACCACAACACCCATTTCCTCCTTCATTTGATGCACTTATTCCATCATTCTTGCCATTTTCTTCTGAATAAATTCTGGATGTCCTCTTATAAGGATCTTTAGTTTTGCTGTTGTGGCTGCCTCAATGTTTGAAGCAGTTCAAACTGTTTACCTTTCATGATCATTTTGATTTTGGAGAAGAGTAAGAAGTCACAGGGTCCAGATCTGGTGAATGAGGTGGATGAAGACACAACATAATGTATTTATGAACTGTTCTTCCCATTGGATGGCACTCAGCAGCAGTACTCACTATATTTTTATCTCAATTTGTAAAGACACTCACAGAAGAGGACTTCCAAACTGCTCCAAAAATTGCAAGAACAAATGGAGAAGTGTGTTTGAAGCAAGGAGGTGTATTTATTTAATTTATTTTCAGAATGTGTTTTTTAAGGAGGATTAATGAGTATGTATCTCTTATTGTAGTAAATGTAAAGAATTTGAATGCTAGCTGTATATTTTCATCAGCCCTTGTACTTCTTCCTTGAGGGTATTAATTAAACATCTGCATATTCAGTGTCATTTATACAAAATGATTGGGACAAGAAGTGTTTTGAATTTCTGATATTTTTATTTATTAGAGAACTTGCATAGACATAATAAGTTGTCTTTAGGATGGGACCCAAGTCTAAACATGAAATTTATTTATAGTTCATATATACTTCATACTTATAGCCTGAAGATAATTTTATACAGTATTTGTATTAATTTTGTGGTTAACATGTGTATTGTGTTGTTTCTCTGGTGTGGGAAACAGCAAATGTAGATAAGGACTAAAATAAAATAGATATTTGAACATTTTCTAATGAGATGGGGAATTATGAATGGAGGAGGGGGAAAGGAAGAAGGGAAATGAAAAAAAATGATGAGAAAAAAGGAAACAATCCTTCCATAAATAAGGAGGGGAAGGGAGTTGAAGGAAAGGTACGGGAATGGAGAAAAAAAATATTCATATCATGTATGGTACAAATTTCCCATGATTAACATGATCATTATTTACACCTAAAATGTACCAATAATCTTAATTAAATAACATTTTGTGTTTGAAACAAAATTTCTTTTTGTGGAATTTCTCAATTTGGCACTACATCTTAGTCAAAAGTTTTGGATTTTGAAGCATTTCAGACTTCAGATTTCAGATTAGGAATTTTCAGCCTACACTTGGATAGTGATTTGATAAATATCCCCCTACCTCAGTAGACCATAAGCTTCATGCTGAGCATATGAGAGCAGTCTCTTTGCCTCTACTGGTGTCATAGTTTAGGTCAGTGCCCCTCCCAAGCATCATATAATAATGAATGTGGCCAAATCCAGTATTTCTGATTGGTTCATTGTCTAGCACTCAGATTGGTGATATGAGTGCTACACCTGCCCAGGAGTGGAGCCAGCATACAGTGTACCGGAGGGAATAAGGCGTGTCTCTCTCTTTTTCTGTTCATGCTTGCTGTTTGCAGCCATGATTAACTGCTTCCTCTCAACCATGTCACTTTGCCTTGGAGCCAACTGAGTATGGACTGAAACCTCTGACCTGTAAGAAATAAACCTTTCCTTCTTGCATGTTGGGTGTTAGGTATTTTGTCTCAACAACCAATGAAAAGTAACTCTCACAACTGGTAATCAGTGTTTCTCAATACCCAACTCAATGCCCGACACAAGAATGGTGCAGTCTTGTTGACAGAAAAAAAACCAGCAGTAGCACACAATTATAGATTTGTATCACACAGAATTTCACTGCTTCCAAGGCTCTGCAGTGAAATGAGGTCTCATCAGTTTTCCTCTCTGTAGGCACTAAGCTTGTCATTTCTTTTGCTTTATTATAGCAAATAATGCTTCTCTATCCAATTTCCATTGTCCCTATGGTCTTAAAAATCAATTGTAAGCTGTTATACAGTCTCATGCTGGGCATGGAAGTCAGGACTTCCTGCATGCTAGGCAAGTTCTCTACCCTCAAGATACATTCCAGTCCTCCCTTTCTTATTGCTGGACTTTAGGCCATGGAAATGTACTGCAGTTTTAGCCCCAAGCTGACTGAAGTTATTTGACAGGACACTGTAATCAATAACTACCCAACTGAGCCTAGTAAAACCAGAAAATTGAGTGCCAATTATAAAATTTTGCAATAAGGCACTGAGTTTGAGAATGCTTTGTTATACAACAATGGCTAATGAGCAAGATAGGGGCAAGAAAGGCACTATTCACAACAACCAAGACAAGCAATCAGTCTAGGCATGTGTCAGCAAGAGAATGGACAAAGCAAAAATGGCATTCACATGTGCACACATGCAGGCACACACACACACACACACACACACACACACACACACACACACACACATACCCTATTGAACTATAAAGAAAAATGAAATCCAGTCATATGCAGAAAAATTCAGGGAGGTGAAAGATATCATGTTAAACAAAATAATTCAGACAGACAAAAACTGCATGTTTTCTCTCATATGTGAAAACTAAAAAGTAAACTAGAAGAGGGGCTATACAGGCCTTGGAGGAGAGTTAGGAGAGAGTGAGAATACAGGACAGGTCTTGACAAACTTGACCAACACACAGTATATGCATCTATGAAAATATCATAATGAATCCCCTTACTCTATACAACTAGTATGTGTCAATAATTATAATGTGTAAAAGGGAAAAGAGATGGAACAAATTTTAAAGCATGTGGGTAGGTACACGCTAATGCATACATTGCTTAACCCCTTGCTAATGCCATGACCCTGGGGGGTTTGCAGATAATAGGAGTGCAGTGATTGCTGGGAAAACATGGTTGGCCATATTCAAGGCTCAGACACTTGCATGTGGAACATGAATCAAGAGGCCCAAGGCTAAGAAGCTTGCTATCATTTGATAAAAGGTCCCCTCCCCCCAAGTCATGTACTATAGCAAAAAGATCCCGTGCCTTCATATGGCAGAGAGGTAGCTGCCACACACCCGGAACAGGGTCTGCATGCTGATTCTCCATTTGTAGAAATGACCTTGAACAGATCTGGTCACTTTTCCACACTTAGTTTTCTCACTTACAAATGATCACTTATGTTAGCAGCAGTATAGAGACTGGAGGTGAGAAACAGCATTTCCATGGTGTTCATGAGTTAGAGGTGGCCAGAGGAAACTGTTTTGCAGCATCTTCTTCAGCCTTGCATCTCTGGCCATCAAGGATGAAGAACAAGGCTCTTGTTTCCCTAAGGAAAAATAAGAGGACAATGGGTTGTCCTGCAGTAGGAGTCAGCAGAGGCCAAAATCAGGTCACCATGCTTTGAAGTTTCATCCTTGAATCTTCTAATTTTTCTTTTTCTGTTTGTCTCTCAATCATTGTTTTGGTAATTATGGTAATATTTACATATTTCTAAAAGTACAACAAACAAGGAAAAAATTTAAAAATATTTGCTCTTTTTCTATGTAGAGAGGTAACTATCTTTGGTACATTTTTTAGCCTCCCATTTCCTGTCAATGTTTTATTGTAGATGTGGTTCCAGGGTGATTAATTTAGGTTTACATCACTGTAACAGGAATCAGTGAAATAAGAATTAGGATTCTGCCAGGCATTAAGGGCAGCAGCCCCAAATGGAGTCAGGAAGTCCAAAATGGAGCCTGCTGAGTTGTGACCTTCCAGGGACCTTACACAAGCATCTGCTGACTGTCCTGCAGTTTTTTGGGACCTGTCCAGAGCATGATCATGCAGGACATTGGCTGAAGGGTACATGGGCTGTGCATGGGCACTGTGTGAACACTTGTTGGCCTGTTTTGTGGACTCAACAAAGATTTTGTTCGGTGAGGTCACAAAATTAGAGAATGTATATGTTGTAGACATCAGCAACAGTGGTAGGCAGAGTGGAACAGAGCAGAAAACCACTGTTCTTGATGTATAATTCTTACACAGGTTGTTCTCTCATGTTTACATTCTTGTGTAGTACTCTCACCTGTTCATGGGAGTTCATCTGTGCTAAGTCATGGTTACATAACTGTACCCCACTGTGTGCCTGTGCAGACAAACAGGGTCATGTCCTCAGTTGTCTTTAGATGTCCCTGAACTGTGAAGCAGTCTGAGTGGTTCCCCACAACACTACATAGATTGAACCCTGAAAAGTAGGTAGTCTTCCATAGGGTAGCTCTTTTCTAAATCCATTAACAACTTCTAAATAAAGACTCCCTCATGGGTATCCTACTCAGAACCCCCTCCTTGCTGGTGGGAATTTTACTCCCTTGCCTTTATATCTATCAGAGAGGAGGAGGATAAGGGGTAAATTGCTTGTGAAGTCCCCAAAGACAACAGGGAGGCAGACCTCAGTACATCAGCAACAGGCAGCAGGCAGGGAGAGTTGTGTCTTTATCGTTCAGCCTCTGTATATGTTGTTATGTTTACATTCTTGCAAGCTGGCCTCCCAGTGGTGCCACAAGCTGACGACAAACCTGTACCATAAGTGTTGGGAGCCGTGGCACTGTCAAGTCATCAGACGCGGTGATTGCGAGGCCTGTGGGAAAGTACAAAAGCCTGGGCTAGATTACCCCTCTCATCGAGCCCGCCTGTGTGGCACCTGTTTCTTATCACCCCACTAAGTTCCTGCCTCACAGGGTAGTCTGCCTAGCTATTAATCCTATATATAGCCAGTGCCTCCACCCCCGAGAGAGAGAGAGACTGAAGCACAAAAGGAGCCGCGGGGAGCGGACCGGTAGAGGCTTCGGGGCAGACTGAAGCACGGAAGGAGCCGCGGAGAGCGGACCGGTAGAGGCTTCGGGGCAGACTGTATAAGGAGAGAATAAAGAAAAGCCTGACCACCGCCAGACCTTGTCGTGTGTCTTTCCTGCCGGCCGGGAGCGGACATCGACATTTGGTGGCCCGTACGGGGATTGATCAACCCCGAGACGCGGCGGTGGACTGCATTCTCCTACACAGTGCTGCAGCTGCAGGACAGGTGAGTAGAGGATAAGCCTGGGCCCTGGGTGGCGCGCACCTACAGGGTTTGTAGACTCCTCTCAACCTCACGCGTAAGTGGCAGGTTTCTTGGGCCTCACGCGGTGAGTATGAAACATAACACCAGAACTTAAGGTAATAAAAGAGTGTAAAACATAAACATAGAAGTAAAAATAACAGAAGATATATTAAAAATGGGAAACATGCCAAGTAAAGATACACAGCCTTGGTGTTGGTCCTTCAGAGACTCCTAAAGTCCAAGGACCTCAAGGTGGGGCGTAAGACTTTAGAAAATTTCCTTGCAGAGATTGACAGCTTTGCTCCCTGGTTTCTGCCTACAGGGCATGTAAACCTGCCCTCCTGGGAAAAGTTGGGCAGAGACCTTTCCCTAGCAGAGCGGGAGGGTAGAGCTTCAGTCTCTGCTCGTCCATTGTGGGAAATGATACACACGTGCCTAAAGAGTGAGGGTAGTTACGGGGGGAGCTCTCAAGAACTTGTAGAAGTACGCGAGGTGTTTGAACAGGCACAGTGAGGAAGCTCCCGAGAAGGGTCCATCAAGGAGGGCAGAGATACAAAAGAGGAAGCCGAGGCGCGGTTTGTGTCTTTCCGCAGGAATCGGGACGAGAGCCAATGTGGGTCCCAGAGAGGTTGACGCGACAAGTCCCTCGACTGAAGATCAGGCCTGTTCCACCAGAGGCCAACCGCAGACCCAACAACAAGATGAGCCCTAAAAGAACTGCAGGACAATCCCTTTTTGGGGGCCTGGAATGGCTTGCTCCCCTATGTGCTACCCTTGTATACGCATGGCTCGCTCGCATGGCCTACGACCGCATTTAAAAGTGACAGGCTTCCCACATTCTCCTCCCTAGACAACAACATGTAGCAGGGTGGGTGAGTCAATGACGGGTAAGAGCGTGCCTCCCCAGCACGACTCAACCTAAGCCAGGCCCTACCCCGTTCCGCTCGAAAGCCGCTGGATTGTTAGATAAATTTCTCTCCGAGGGGATTCGTGGAGAGAAATGAGTGCATGCCTATGTGCAACCAGGTTCCGTCCGGTTCATTCCTGGCCCTAGAAAAAAGGACGAGGGCCTCAGGGCCTTGGTGGACCCTGGGACGGCCGACCAGGGTCTACGCTAAGGGCCTACGGTGGGCCTCAGTTCGGGGCATAGGCCTCTGCACTCTATCCAGGACGGGCTGCGATGCGCGTAGCCATCATTTAAAATAAAATAGGGGGAGATGTTGGGAGCCGTGGCACTGTCAAGTCATCAGACGCGGTGATTGCGAGGCCTGTGGGAAAGTACAAAAGCCTGGGCTAGATTACCCCTCTCATCGAGCCCGCCTGTGTGGCACCTGTTTCTTATCACCCCACTAAGTTCCTGCCTCACAGGGTAGTCTGCCTAGCTATTAATCCTATATATAGCCAGTGCCTCCACCCCCGAGAGAGAGAGAGACTGAAGCACAAAAGGAGCCGCGGGGAGCGGACCGGTAGAGGCTTCGGGGCAGACTGAAGCACGGAAGGAGCCGCGGAGAGCGGACCGGTAGAGGCTTCGGGGCAGACTGTATAAGGAGAGAATAAAGAAAAGCCTGACCACCGCCAGACCTTGTCGTGTGTCTTTCCTGCCGGCCGGGAGCGGACATCGACACATAAGGATCACTGAGGGACAATTACAACCCAAAGCCTCACACACACAAACAAGAAGCGTTTCTCATGTGTGCATCACTCAGGGGCCAATAGTGATGTCCAACTCATGTTGCCTGCACTTCCTTCACCTCCTGGGACACTGCACTTCTTACAGCAGAGGAAAAAGAATTTTTACTAATTATTCAATATCAACTACAAAAAATAGATGTCTAAAGAAATGGTACATGGAAAACCATGTTGAAATTCAGGTGCAACCCCTCAAGGCAGCCCCATAAAACAAATGCAATGAAGTTTGTTGTAGAGGGTTCCCAGAGTTATTTTCAGAGACAGCTCCATGATTACACAGACTCCTGAGTCACATGCGCATCTGACTGTTAGTGAACAAGGATGTTCCTGGGTGAGAGGTGTTGGAGGAGGAGGTGAAGATGTTCATTTGTTCTCTAAGTCTAGGGAACATCCTTCAGTTTCACCTTCAGCGGGTTTGCATACTGTCCTGTAGCCATTTCCTGACTTACCTCAGAAAGTCTTAGCTTTCCTGATTTTGTTTTATTGTCATTCGCAGCCCTGACTCTTAAGGCGTCTAGTAGGTAGTGACATGTGTCACTTGCATTCGTGTCTGACAACTATTCTCTCCTTGCCCAAACCTTAGTCAGGATCCTCTGGTCACCTGCCACTGTCTGAGAAGTCTCCACAAAGAGGAGATGGGGACCTCCACTCATCCAGTGCCTGGTGCAGAGGTTCCAGGCTTGTCATGGAGGAGAATTGCTATGTATCCCTATGAGAGGCTCAGGTAAATTTAGTAAGCAGATTCAAAGATGCAGGCAGTCTGAACAGAGTGCAGGCGTTCAGAGAATGAGGTCTATTGTGGTCTAGGGCTGGGCAGCTTCTGTGCTATGGGGGATGGAAATCTGTGGAATTTGTGAATCTATAGAAGGCAGGGGTTAAAGTTACAGGCAACAGGCAATGGCCCATTTTCTAGGTAAAAAGCAAAAGAAGGCCCAGTTTAAGGCCTTATTTTATCTTGAAGACAGTGGATTTTTTTTCAGGGAGTTTCTTGGAAGGAAAAAAAGACATTGTAACTTTGGATACATTTGTATCCTGAATCTGGGATGTCCCAGGAACCATCTCTGGCTATACCTGGCCTTCACATTTACCAGTCCTCTGGACACATCTTAACAAACCAAATTGTGCTGTCCCAGCAGCATTCCACTGAGACTCCGGGTTCTGCATTCTTTACCTTAAACACAACGCATTTGTAAAACTTCCTCCAGAACAAACACTCATATGGCCTAGTATAGCACAAAGTCCTTGGGGTGACCAGAAGTTAATCTAGTTTAAATTAATCTGTTATCCATATCTGGGTGAAATGGGACCAGCAATCCTAGTTTTTGAGGAATCTCCACACTGATTTCCACAGTGGATGCACCAGTCTATGCCCCCACCAGCAGTGGAGAAGCTTCCTTTTTGCCCACAACACCTCTAGCATTTCTTGTTGCTTGATTTCCTGACATAGACATTCTCAGGGTGAGGTGGAATCTCAGTGTTGTTTTAATTTTTCACCTATATTTATTTCATATTTCTCACTCTCAATTCATTTTTGGCTTCTGTGTTCATATCTGCATTGTCCAGTTTTAGCAAGTGTCCTGCTAAGGCAGTTGGCCACAAGCCTCCATCCCTGATGTGTGATCATCCTTAACATCCAATTGGCTCCTCATCCTACACCATCATGCAGCTTACACCTATCCAGCCTGGCCTGCCCTCTGAAATCATCCCATTAGGCTGGGTCAGGAAACAACTCCCTTCCATCTGCTACTCACTCTTACTGTTGTCAGATCCCTGACCTGACCCTGGCCTGCAGCTGTACATCCCTAATTTTCCTAGGTGCGTGTGGAGTTCTCTGTCCTCCACTGTTGAACCCCTCACAGTTGCATCTGCCTCTCTCAGGATGGTCCCCATATTGTGAGAAACTTTTGACAACACAAACAGGGCCCAAAGTGGTGGCACAGAAGACTGTGGCAACTTCCTGAAAGAACTAAGTCAAGAAAAGAACTGGGAGCAGCTGCCTACTGCTTCCATGGTTGGTTGTTCTGTCCCCATGCCAGGACAATTTTTGTTGAGATCAGGAGAATCTTAGGTACAGAGTTAAGACTGCATATGTTTAGAGCATACAAAAATAACAAGTGCTCTCAGTCACACAGTGTACATCTAAAGGTAAAATAGCGGTAAAACATGTTTCAACATCTCTTTAAAGTTGGTCATGGTACCTAACGTTTCATCGACATCTACTGGAATTTATTAAATAAGCATTTTGTTATTGCAAAAATAAGATATATTTGTATTGGTTAATAACTATATATATATATATATATATATATATATATATATATATTCGTTAATGCTCTATCCTAAATTTATTAGATTTCTACAGATGTCCGTTTAAAAAATCTAAATTTTGCCTAAAGTGTAAAATCTAAGTAAATGTACACAAAGTTTTTATATGGCATTGAAATTAATTATTGCTAACCTCACGGTATATAAAATACATTTCTTTTATCAAGGGTGTAGGGTTTTATATGATATGGCATGTGGGAAAGACATCTTATCGTATTGATGACTCTAAACTACAGTCGTAGGTGAGATCTAGGGTATATAGGAGAGATGGCAACCAGAGGAAGGTGATTAGGTTGATGACTTGTCCCACTCCATTTGTGTACACATGTGGGTTTGGGTCAGAGAGATGCTGTGTGCAGAAGTTCCCTAAAGTGATGTTTGCACAGTGACAGGGCTTGGTTGGTTGGCTGGCTTTGTCTTCTGCAAAAAGTATTAACCAGCATCCTTCTCACTCAGCCCAACTGCACCAGGAGCCCTTTCTAGTCCAGCATTGTAGTTCACAGAATGGCCAGGAGGTGGCGGCGGAGCAGCGAGTCAACTTTGACAAGTTTTGTAGGAAGGCAGCAAGGAAAGTGCAGCTTTGGTAACAAGGAATAATAAAGGAAAATGTTGAATTCAATGAATTTTTATAAATGAAATGAACATTCACCTTTTATGCTCTTTTCTGGATGCTTCTCCTCTCCTCCCCCAAGATAAATCCTATCCAGAGATTAATTTGTCCTGTTTTTATCAGTTATACATATGCATGTTCATTTATATCCATATATGTACTCTTACTGTTTGTGTTTTTTGAGGGTCTGACTTTTTCATTTATCTTTATGTTTGCGAGATTTACACACTGACTCATTCACAAAGCCATTACATTATGACCTGCTTCATGTAGTTGTAGATGTCTTTCTTCTCATGGTTCCGTGTTTCTCACCTTCATTTGTTCCTTCTCCTGGCTGGTCTCTTCTCCTCACAGGTTGATTGCCATCTTGAACTGTATAGTGAGAATCTGTCTCAAAAAGACAAAAAAACCATTAAGTCAATGAAAACACTGGGGATTGCATTTGTTACTCTGGATCATCTTATGTTTTGGGGCCACTGTTTTCAGCTTTGAATAATATTAAATCTGATACATGAAACAGACCAACAGATGACTTGAGTATTGCATGTGTTGCTCTGAAACGAATGCAGTATGAGCCAACCTTTGACAAACTATCAGTGTGCATGCAACAGCCAAGATAACACTAATTGTGTGAAAGCATACCAAATGCAAACCTTCACTTTTCAATAAAAGGTTGTATCATTGAAAGCTTTGTGATTGTGTTTTTCTCTCAAGCAAAATAGGTCAATGGATGAGCAGTTTTTTCTAAACTAAAACTTCAGTTCAGTATTCAGATCTAGTTGCAGTGTAGGCAGTGCAAAAAATAAGTGGGTTTTGGCTTGCAGTATGGGCCCTTGTTCTCTAAAAGGTTTCCTCTAACTGATCCAGGAGACATGAAGGGTGAGGATTCCATGCCCCGGTCTCCTGTCTGGCCTCTGGCACTCACTGGGGTCCCAGGCATGGACAGGGCATTCAACCAGGGTCTGATTCCTCAGTTCAAGCAAGACAGATCCCAGCCTGAACATCAGTTCACTGGAAACTGTGAGAGTCAGAAACTAAGTTTGGGACACAGCCAATCAGAGTTCTGCTGAACCTGTAGTAGCAACAGCTGATTCATCTACCTCTTTCTCCTAAAACACAGAAAGTGGAGCATCCACACACTCATTGTGCAAAAGGGTTAGCTTTTGGGGCCATCTGGGCTTCATTGGGGAGTGGGGAGCTGCAAGGTGTGGGTCACTAGGTTACTGGTTTCCATGGTGTAGAAGGGGACAGTCTCTAAAGAGTTCACATCACTGCAGAGCTGACCCTAAATTAGGTGTGGCTTGGATCCAGGCCCTCTGTGTTCCTACTGCCTCATGTGTCACACAAACCCATCAGGTGGAGTGTAGCCTGAGGCTCCTTAGACCATGGGTCAGGGACAGCAGGTTGATTAGATTCTGTGACTGCTCCCTGCCCCAGAGGATCTCAGTGAGAAACCCAAACCACATGTCCTGTTGATGGGGTTGTAAAATGAACTGACTGATGTAGGGAACAACATAGCCGTCCTCTCAAAATTCTATAGAATTGTTCTACAATTCAACAACTCTAAATGTGTTATACAGCTTAAAAGAAATCAGGAGCTCAAGCAGATATATGCATTCCCATGTTCACAATAGGATTATATCTAAGAGCCAAAACATAGGGAAAAAAACCCAAATGGTGGATGAACAAAACGTGCTATGTATATATCCTGCAATATTATGTTAAGGGGGAAAAAAAGGGAAAAGGAGATGTTATATGATTCCAAATATGTGATGGCCCAGAAGAGTCCATTTCATGGAAACAGACAATATAATGGTATTTCTAGGAGTTGAAGGTACCGAAATGATGCTATTTTTGGGAGGGTTCACAGTTTCTGTTCAGAAACAGAGTTTTGGAGCATGAGGGTGCTGAAAATTGCACAAGGTAAACGTTCTTAACTCACTGACAAAATTAG